GGGAGGAACGAGTGAGAGGTTTGAAGTGAATCCAAGGAAAAGTGACCACAGTTAGCCCCTAACTCCTGCTGTTTGTTTTCTTTCAGTGTGTACCACTACCTTACTAGAAATCAATAATTCCCTCAGTCTTCTCCCTGGGAAACAAACGGGTACACACTAAAAAGAGTCAGCTTCACAGATCACGTGGACAGGGGACAGTAGGGTTATTGGATTTTATCTTGTGATTCTGTCAGGGAAGCCAAGGTTTTGACCAAAAAACTTTCATCTTGATGGTCCACAGTTCTCTCTTTACTTGGTATTAGGAAAAGTTTGTTTAATTTTCTGAAGATATTGTGAGTATTCAATAAATGATAGCAGCTGTGTGCTTAACAGTTTTCAAATGTCATACTTAGACTTACTTAGGTTTTAAATTTTCTTCTCAAATTCTCCAAATCAGTACTTATTACTTACAAATGATATCACAAATATTGGCAGTCTTAAATTCTATTTTTATTTCCTTATCAAATGCTTGTAGTTTTGTGTAGCTGTTCATTGTTATGTTCCTTTACAGCAGATTTTTAAAAATGCTCGCTGCCAGCACAACAAGGCTCTATGTGTGTGTGTCAGAGAGAAATGTTTTCAGAAAGAAAATGGTTTAGGTTTCAAAATACCCAAGGGAATTGTTATAAAACAACAGTGAGGAGAAAAAAAACTCAACATGATTTAAATACCTTGATGTGGTTCTTTTTTAATTTAAATTTTTCTTGTTAGGTCTTTTATTTTCTAAACAAAAGACCATTTTGTTCTTCATGAACTACTTTGGGCTAGAAAGAGCAACCAAGTTTCTTTTTTCTTTTTTGAAACTTGTAGTTGAAGCTTCTTCCTTTTTCCCCCATTCAGGTACCTAATTAAATGGAGTCATTTAGTTGATTTGTACTTGTTTTCATCCAGAATTCAATTAAAATTCTTTTAGCTGAGCTAGAGCCATTCGATTCTTAAACTAGGTCCAGGATAAGAGGTGGTAGTGAAAGTAGGAATAACGAGTGAAAGAATGTATTCCGTTCAGTCTTTGGGAGTTGTGCGGGTCAGGCCTTCTCCTGGTGGCTTAAACAGGGCCCTGTGGTACCACCCACGGGAAGAGGCTGGAGAGTGCAGGGGCCAAAGAGCGCAGACTCTAGTTAGGCTGCCTGAGTTTGAATCTCAATTTTTTTTTCTTTTCCAGCTTTATGAATCTCAATTTTCCACCCTTTACTTGCTGTGTACACTTGGGCAAGTTACTTAAGCCTTTTAAACCTCAGGTTCAACTATAAAATGGAGATTAATAATAGTGTCTGCTTCTTGGGGTGTGAGGATACAGTCAGATAATCACGTAGAGCGCACAGTATAATGCCTGGCACACAGGCTTGCTCAATAAATGTTGGCCATTACTATCTTTATTTTATTAGGTTGTTGTCAATACTTACACATATATTGTTCATCTTGATCTTTTAATATATAACAATATTGACTTTAGGTAACTTTGTGTTAAAAATCTCCTGTTATGATATATTTGAGTTAATAAAAAAAATTTCTTTTTTTGAGGAAGATTGGCTCTGTGCTAACATCTGTTGCCAATCTTCCTCTTTTTCTTTTTCCTCCCCAAAGCCCCAGTACATCATTGTATATCACAGTTGTAGAGTTGTAGCTTTTCTGTGTGGGACCCCGCCTCAGCATGGCTTGATGAGTGGTGAGTAGGTCCGTGCCCAGGATCCGAACCAGCAAACCCTGGGCCGCCAAAGCAGCAGGCACAAACTTAATCACTGTGCCACCGGGCTGGCCCCTGAGTTAATAAAAATTGAAACTGACATGGTAGAAACCATCATAAGCAAAGACAAATGACAAACTGGGGAGAAAATATATTTGTAATTTATTACACAGACAAAGGATTCATTTCCCTAATATATAAGGAACTACTACTCTATTAAAAAAATGGACAGTTGTAAAGCTTTTTATGGTGATATACTTCCACTTAACTGGGCTACAGATTTCGTGTCTCATATATATATATATATCCACAGAGACTACCAGGAAAACCCTAGATTGGAGAAGGGCTTGGGACACATACAGCTAAAGACACAGCCAAGAGTGTGTAAACAGACCTGAATTTTTCTTCCCCCCATAAAATAGCTCCCTCTGAGAAATGATCTGTTACTATCAATGGTACCCCCGCACACCCCACTTACCCTCTCATCCATGATTTTTCTTAGTTTTTCCTCTCTCTTTCTCCTCATCCAGAAAGTCACTGAGTCTTTTCTTTGTTTCATTAGTAGTATTTCACATCTGCTCCAATCTTTCCAGGCCTACTACTACTGTTTTAGTCAAGAGACATTCAATATCTCTCTCATGACTAAACTGCTATCCTGGTCTCCTTTTCTTTGTTTCTCTTGTGCCCTTCTCCAGTCAGCACAATATTCCACACATAGATTAATTTCCCTAAAACATGGTTTTCATCTTAGGCCACCAGCCTACCCGGAAGCCTTCAGTGGTTCCCCACCATTAAAGTGAAGTCTAACTTCTGAACCTGACCCTCAGGGCCCCCCTTAATCTGACTCACCCTCCTATCTCTAGCCTTAGTCTTTCTCACTGTTTCTCTTTAGGAACTCCTCAAACATCTTACCTGGTCTACTTGGCCTGGCCCACCATGCCTGTTGCTGCCTTCATGCTGCCCTCCCTCCTCCTGTTTGCTAAGTCTTATACTTGCCACAGGCTCAGTTTCTGCCTCCTCCAGATGGCTTTCCTAGGTGCCCCAGCCCTCAGTGTCCATTGTTTTCTTACCTCCCACTGCATTTACTGATTGCCTGTACCTCTCCTCTCACACTTCACCTTTGCCACCTATATTGTTTTAGGTGAACTTTTTTTTTTCTTTTTTGCTGAGGAAGATTCACCCTGAGCTAACATCATGCTAGTTGTCCTCTGTTTTGTATGTGGGTCGCCACCACAGCATGGCTGCCAACGAGTGGTTTAGGTCTGCACCCGGGAACCAAACCTGGGCCACCGAAGCGGAGCACGTGCACTTAACCGCTGTGCCACTAGGCCCGCCCCTACTATTTACTTTAAACCTAAAGCATGAGAATCTCCCTGACAAATCATGCTGTCTGGAGGTTATCTGCATGAGGCAAAGTGAAGTCAAAGTAAGTCACTTTCCAGCTCCTGCCTGTGATGTCTCCATCACTTGGAAACATAGGCACAAAGAGAAAAGTAGAGGCCCCATAGGCTGCTCATCCTTAAAAATTAACTTGTTCAAAGTATTATGAGTTCCCTTTTAGTTTTGTTTGGTCTCATTTTGTATTGCCCCTTTGGTTATGTCTGTTTTGTACTTAGAAGGCCTCAGTTTGCAATTCTATAACTCTGTCAGTCTCGTTGACGTGGCTTTCACTTAAAATTAATGTTCAGCAAAGGGATTAGCCGATAACTGTTTCGAGCTGTATTTCTTTATGCAAAAGGGTGGATATGGTTTGAACAGGCTGCCAAAGCCAGGAAGAGAAGTTAATTGTGTAAATCACTGCAGGCCAGAGCTGATCACCTTTCTGAAAGACAAGACAATGCAGCACACAATCTCTAAAGAGATCTTTGGGGTCAAGTTGATATCATGTTGAAGAATCAATATTTACTGGGCTTTATAAAGTTAGCCTTTAATGAACCCCAGGCATTTTGCTAAGCCATTAATTACAGGAAGAGGAAAGGCGGCGACAGTGACTGAAGTCCATGGCTGTGGAGGTTGTATAAAAATAAGTGAAGAGACAGTCTCTTGCTAATGTGCAAAGGTCCCACCTTTAGGTTCTACTCAGGCGTTGTTGAGTATGGGTATTGAAGGGCTTTCTTGGGATCTTATTGACATTTTAAGAAAGATCAACTCTTGCATCCTAACAGAAGAAGGTCTGTCTTTTACTCTTTGACACTCCTTATTTAAGCAGTGTGGCTTAATTTTCCTGGGATGAATTCTAAGGTCATTTTGGATTCTGCCTTATAAATATGCTAATCACAAGAGCAAGTCCCTCTCAGAGTATGGCTCATCCCTCCCTCTGACATGCTTGAAAGCTTTTAAAGTGAAGAATTATAGTGAAGAGCACTTACTTTAGGATGATGGCTTGAATCCAAGTCTAATGAAAGGTTTTTGATAAATATTATCATTTGCATGTGTTATATCATCCAATAGAAGTGTCTCTCTGGCTGTTTTGTGTGTATAAGTATTCCGTATTCCTCACTGGGTCGTCAGAATCATTTGTGGGTCAGGAACTTTATCTTCTGTTTATTTTAGTGTTTCTAAATAATGTTTCTAAGAAATGTTGTTGACTAGGTAGAGGGATATATTATATCAAATTTTATCCTGGCTGTAACAAAACTAGGACCCTACATGGTCAGTAAGTGAAAGTCATAGAAGCATCTTTGTTAGGCCCTGTGAATCAGTGTGTGGCCCCAGGACGTTTGTTACAAGTTCTTGGTTATAACTGCTCAATAGATAAATTCTGGGATTGACTTTTCAGACCTCTTTTTCTAGAGCATTTTGTCAGAGGAAACTTTAACATTAATCAGAGAAGAGCTGCTGTTCTTTCTCACTCCTGCTCCCATCCCTCCTCTCCAGGATCACTTTTCAGAGTAAATACTGAAAAGAAAAAGCATGAGAGGTTTGTTGCGATTGTTGTGGTGTTTTTACAAGAGAATCTTTTTTTGTGAGGAGATCGGCCCTGTGCTAACATCTGCCAATCCTCCTCTTTTTTTGCTGAGGAAGACTGGCCTTGGGCTAACATCCATGCCCATCTTCCTCCACTTTACATGGGATGTTGCCACAGCATGGCTTGCCAAGCAGTGCGTCAGTGCGCGCCAGGACCCGAACCGGTGAATCCCGGGCCGCCGCAGCAGAGCGCGCGCACTTAACCACTTGTGCCACCGGGCCGGCCCTTGACAAGAGAATCTGATGTTTAATATTTTCGTCTGTAATTTTCTTTGGATGTTCATTCTGGGTTTTTATTTTTCCTTTTCAGCTATTTGAGAACTTCTACTTTGGTACCCTAAAGCTCAATTCAATTCACATCTCTCAGAGGTTCACAGTAGACAGCTTTGGAAACTACGCCTCCTGTGGACAAGTTGACTTCTCCTGAGGTGGATCTTGGGAAACACTAGATATTGAACATCCTCACAAGGTGCCAAGGAAGAGTATCTTCATCTTAATTGCCAAGGAGGGATATGGAACTTTCCTGGTGGTTCCCCATGGACACCATGGTCTCTAAAGGTTGTCCACAGTCATCAGACTGTCAGCCAAGATGGTTGTGGGGACAAAGAGAACTTGTGCCTGTAACCCTCAGCTGGTTTATCTTGCACAGGGTCTACCATTCTTTCTAAAGCTCTTCTTTGGAAATGTACCTCTGAAGCCTGTTGGAGCTCAGATTCACATTATTTCTTATATACCTACTGTTTTTGCCACAACCGTTGAATTTGTGTTAATACTTTAAAAGAGAATTAAAGTTGTGTGCTCTTATAAATCTCTCCACCTAGATCAAATATCCATAATTTCTAGAAGGTTTGTATTTTTCCCTTCCCCTTGTACCCTAACTTTTAATCACTACCCAGAACTTCTTTTTTATTGTGGTAAAAAAATATAAAATTTACCGTCTTAACAATTTTAAGTGTATAATTCAGTAGTGTTAAGTTTATTAACGTTGTTGTGAGATATCCCCAGAACTTTTTCATCTAGCAATTCTGAAACTCTATACCCATTAAACAACTCTCCTTTTCCCTTCCCCCAAGCACCTGGGAACCACCATTCTACTTTCTGTTTCTATGGATTTGATGACTTGATACCTCATATAAGTGGAGTCATACAGTATTTGTCTTTTTGTGACTGGCTTATTCCATTTAGCATCATGTCCTCAAGGTTCATCCATGTTGTAGCATGTAACAGGATTTCCTTCCTTTTTAAGGCTGAATAATATTCCATCATATGTAGGTACCACATTTTGTTTATCCAGTCATCCATCAAGGGGAACTTGGGTTCCTTCTACCTTTTGGCTATGGTGAATAGTGCTCTCTGATTGTGGCTGTACAGATATCTCTTCAAGACCCTGCTTTCAATTCCTTTACTGCTAAGAATTTTATCTTTAACAAAATAACTGTTAAAGTTTTTATCTTTTGCTTTGATCTGCCCTTTTTCTTCTGAAGTTGGTACCTTTCTCTGTTTGTTAGATTGCTGTTCCTTCACGCTACCCTAACGCTCGCTTTCCCAGGCCACTGATGGAGTTGCAGTCTGTAGCTCTTTTCTGTTTACCTCTCAGAGCAGCAGCAAGAGAAACAGTGATGGGGCCGGCCCGGTGGCACAAGCGGTTAAGTGCGTGCGCTCCGCTGCAGCGGCCCGGGGTTCACCGGTTCGGATCCCGGGCGCGCACTGACACACCACTTGGCAAGCCATGGCAGCATCCCATATAAAGTGGAGGAAGATGGGCATGGATGTTAGCCCAGGGCCAGTCTTCCTCAGCAAAAAAAGAGGAGGATTGGCAGATGTTAGCACAGGGCTGATCTTCCTCACAAAAAAGAGAAACAGTGATATCAGCAGGACTGTGCAGAGTTCCCGGGGAGAATGTCAGCCGCAGACCCCACCCATCAGTCCTGCCACGTGCTCTGCTGGGGAGCTCCAACCTCACTGTGACCTCTCATCTCCCCCTCTGCACATCCTTTCTCCCTCCAGGTCCTCTCTTTCTTTCTCTTTCCTTCATTCCTTATTCTTATCTTGATTCTTACTTCCTGTTTGAGAAATCTAATTCTGAACCCCGTGTATTAAGGTCACTACATAGTGAGGGCTGTGTATAATGCTCAGAGATTTGTTTATCAATGTGACTGCACAGATCATTTGGGAATAAATGAATTTCCAAAGTAACTGTTTTTTTTTTTTAGTATTATCATGTAGTTTTAGTTTGATCCCCTTAGTAAGTGTGTGTTGGGATACAAGGTTGCCATTACTTATTCACTGGCATAGCTATATTATTCATCCAGGATTTACATATTGGTGCCTGCAGGATTGATTTTTCCCAAAAAAGCTTTCTACTGGTAATATTCATTTTTTATTTAAGTTGAGATTTTACCTCACTCACCTCCAATTGTTAGATGGCAGGTGGGAATGAGTGCTCCCAGGGATAGCACTGAAGAGCGAAGTCCACTGTGGAATTCAGTACCCTCATCTCATCTCCTCTCGGTGCTGCTTTTCCCTTCCTGGTTTCTTTCTGACAACTGCCATTGGGCAGTCTTGGCCAGGAAGTAAAGATGTCTTATTTGGGGTATCAGAGATTTATGACTCATGTTTTCAGTTAACTTTTCAGAAAGTTTTGTCTTTGGAAAATGTAACTTTTTATATCAAATGCTAAATTTTTAACAGAATTGGAAATTCTCTTATTTAGTATTTAGAGATAACTGCGCATTTAAGGACATAGCGTATTGTTAAGTAATTTTACACAAGTTATTTGTCGTTTTCACTCTTATTCTCTCACAATTATACAGTGGAGTTTTCCAGAGGCTATGTGACATGTTGATATTATCATTCTGATAGTTAGTGGAGCATGTGCTTGTGTATTTTTGTGTTTTCTAGAATTTCGTAAGTTGGTAGGTATTGGTAGAATTGGAAAATTTTTAAATTTATCTTTTAAATTCTCTTTCTAGAGGCCTAGAGACAAATTTTTGAGACAGTATAGCTCAAAAGAAACTACAGTTTTAGCTGCTGTTGTGGAAGAAGTAGTAACAAGTAGTTTCGATGTAGAACTTTTATCAAAGAGCAACAGTGGTAGAGAGCAAATAATTTTTGATGGAGCTAAAAGAATTTTTCAAGATTCAGGGTTCCCTCTCACCAAATTGTAAGGGGGTAAATGTTGGAGGATTTGCTACCGTGTCTATAATCAAATCTCTCTTCATGTTACCACTTGCAATTCATTCTGCACTGAAGTAGAGTTAAATTGCACCTAACATTGCTCCAGTTGGTTTTTGAGGCACTGACTTCACCCTCAATTCATCTAAGAGGAGGAGGGAAGAAATCTCTCACCACAATTATTACACAAGATCTGTGTAGTTATATGAGGAACTTTGTTATGGAGAAAATTTTGATTTTTTTTGGAGGGGGCACAATGAGTTTACCCCCAAATGAACTCCATACCCACGGTAGAGACGTGATAATTGTTACTTATAATGGTTATTTTGTAAGTGAGCTCCAGGGTTTACTAAATTGGACATTGGTGAGAATCCAACTTCATAATGACACAAAGCTTGGTTCAGGTTGCTCTTGCACTGTGCTCTTTTCTGGAGTGAAAGGGAACCTGACGGCACCAGAAGTGTAGGCCAGAAGTGTAGTGAGTTAAGGAGCTTTTCTCAGACTCTACCTCGATGCCTACAGGGAGCATGGATATCAAAGCCCAAGGATGCTATAGGTGAGAAAAGGGCTGCTGTTAGGGTTTTTCTTTTTAAATTTTTTATTAATAGCTGTATTTTGTTAATAAAATGCTCTTTTTGGGGGGGGTGTTAAGGAAGATTAGCCCTGAGCTAACATCTGTTGCCAATCCTCCTCTTTTTGCTGAAGAAGATTGGTCCTGGGCTAACATCCGTGCCCATCTTCCTCTACTTTATATGTGGGACGCCTGCCACAGCATGGCTTGCTAAGCGGTGCGTAGGTCTGTGCCCAGGATCCTAACCTGCAAACCCAGGCTGCTGAAGTGGAGCACGTGAACTTAACCACTACACCACTGGGCCAGCCCCAATAAAATGTTCTTTTAAAGAAAGATAAAATAAGATCATTTTGTGAAAAATCATCAAGCTTTATGCTTTTTTCAATGTATATGTTATACTTCAATTTAAATGTTTGTTTAAAAAATAAATTTCCTTGGGGCCAGCCCGGTGGCGCAAGTGGTTAAGTGCGCGCTCTCCGCCGCGGCGGCCCGGGGTTTGCTGGTTCGGATCCTGGGCCTGCACAGATGCACTGCTTGTCAAGCCATGCTGTGGTGGTGTCCCATATAAAGTAGATGAAAGTGGGCACGGATGTTAGCTCAGGGCCAATCTTCCTCAGAAAAAAGAGGAGGATTGGCATCAGATGTTAGCTCAGGGCTGATCTTCCTCACAAAAAAAATAAAATAAAAAATAAATTCCCTCATCTGGAGGTTACTACTTCCTATGCATTTAAGCACATGTAATATCATTAAGTAGTTTTTCACAAATAATAACAGCTAATATTAGTGGAATGCTCACGTATGTCATTTATTTGTGTATTAACTCATTAAATCTTTTTTTTTCTTGTGAGGAAGATCAGCCCTGAGCTAACATCCATGCTAATCCTCCTCTTTTTGCTGAAGAAGACCGGCTCTGAGCTAACATCTATTGCCAATCCTCCTCCTTTTTTTCTTCCCCAAAGCCCCAGTAGATAGTTGTATGTCATAGTTGCACATCCTTCTAGTTGCTAGATGTGTGGGACGCAGCCTCAGCATGGCCGGAGAAGCAGTGCATCGGTGCGCACCCGGAACCCGAACCTGGGCTGCCAGTCGCGGAGCGCGCACACTCAACTGCTAAGCCATGGGGCCGGCCCGACTCATTAAATCTTTATAACAGCTCACTTAAGTTGGTATTATCATTATCCTCATTTTAGAAACTGAGGCTTAACAAGGATAAGATATTTGCCCGAGGTCATACAGCTTGTACCAGTGGTTCTTAAAATGTGGTCTCAGGACCCCTGGGAACCCCTGAGAATGTTGGCGGGGGGTGCAGGGAGTGAGGTCCACACTATTTTCATAAAAATACTAAGGTAGTATTTACCTTTTTCACTCTAATTCTCTTGTGAGTGTACAGTGGAGTTTTCCAGAGGCTACATGACATAGTGACATCATTACTCTGATGGTTAATGGAATAATATGCTTGTGTATTTTTGTGTTTTCTGAAATTTTATATATTGGTAGGTTTAGGTTATAAATATGTGTTTTTAGAGATTAACTCAGTTTGATCTCAGTACTTCTACTGTGTTCTTACTAGCTGTTTTCAGTTATACCTGCTGCTGTTATGGGCTGAATTGTGTCCTCTGAGAATTTGTATGTTGAAGCCCTAACCCCCTAGTACCTCAGAATGTAACTGAATTTGGAGATGGGGCCTTTAAAGGGGTGATTAAGTTAAGGTGAGGCTGAGGCAGTTAGGATGGGCCCTACTCCAATCTGAGTAGTGTCCTTATAAGAAGAGGGAATTCAGACACACAAACATTGGTCCCCTGGCCCCCAAGATCAGCCCCCTAGGTCTGTCTCCAAAAAAGTTTGGTGATGACATCACCAAGTAACTGGTGATTGGAAGGGTCTGAGGATTATAATGAAACTGACCATTCAGAACAGACAGGCCCAGACTGAGGTAGTTCCAGATCATCACAGCCCTCAAGGAACCAGCAGGAGACAGAAAGAAGCAGAAAAATATTAAGCACAATGGAAATACCACTTTTGATGAGATTGTCAACATTGCCTGACAGGTGCAGCACCAATCTTTAGCTATGGAGCTCTCTGGAACCATTAAAGGGATCCTGGGGACTGTCCAGTCTTTGGGTTGCAATGCTGTTGGCCGCCACCCTCATGACATCATAGATGACTTCAACAGTGGTGTGGCGGAGTGCCCAGCTAGTTAAGAACGACAAAGGAGGGCCGGCCCCATGGCTTAGCAGTTGAGTGCGCGCGCTCCGCTACTGGCAGCCCGGGTTCGGATTCCGGGCGCGCACCGACGCACCGCTTCTCCAGCCATGCTGAGGCCGCGTCCCGCATCCAGCAACTAGAAGGATGTGCAACTATGACATACAACTATCTACTGGGGCTTCGGGGGAAAAAAAAGGAGGAGGATTGGCAATAGATGTTAGCTCAGAGCCGGTCTTCCTCAGCAAAAAGAGGAGGATTAGCATGGATGTTAGCTCAGGGCTGATCTTCCTCACAAAAAAAAAAAAAGAATGACAAAGGAGGGGCTAGCCCGGTGGCATAGTGGTTAAGTTCTTGCACTCAGCTTTGGGGGCTCAGGGTTTGCGTGTTTGGATCCCGGGCATGGACCTAGGCATTGCTTATCAAGCCATGCTGTGGCAGGTGTCGCACTGTCTTGACATGAGTACAGCCATGTTTGGCCGTTCCATTGACCTATAGCCACCAGCACACAAAGAAATATAAAGCTGCTTTCTGTGTGGTGGGAACTGGCCCATCTCCCACGGAGAGAGTTGCAAGTTGTAACATTTCAAGGCTCTTTGGGCATCGTAGCTTGAGACGGACTGGCCATCTGTGCTGGGCTGGGACAATAGCCAGGGAGAACAATGCACGTACACAACTGCTGGGCTGGGACAATAGCCAGGGGGCTCAGTGCACGTACACCACTGATAACCATTTGTGCATGGCAACACTAAACACTTGCTCTGCAAACTCTGTAACTGCTTACTCTGGAAATTACTGATGCTATATCAACTGCTGGAAACTGAGGCCTGGTGATAGTCTCACCTGTGGAAGGGACGCCTTGCCCAGGACCTGTGATGATGGGATTCCCGCCCAGCCTTGTCAATTGAATGGACTCTCCCCGGCAGTGGGGCGTGGGTGTTGTGAGTAACCGATCTGCTGTGTTCTCTTTTCCGTCAACCTGGTGTTTCTCTTTCCGGTTGATTTGTGTCATTTCCCTTCAGTTGATTTGGTGTTTCCCTTTCCGATCGATCTGATGTTTTTCCCTCTTATTATATGACCTATTCGAATCTGCTGCTATCTCAGTCGATCTGGTGTTTCTCTTTCTGATCTATCTGGTGTTTTTCCCTCTTATTATTTCACCTATTCAGATCTGTTTGCAGACTATCGCCTTTACTCTCCTCTATATAATAAAATATACCTTCAGTCCATTTGTTTGGAGTGGAAAGTTTCTTTCACATCTCCGAACGAATCCCCTGAACCTCTCAAAACAGCCACATATAAAGTAGAGGAAGATGGGCACGATGTTAGCCCAGGGCCAATCTTCCTCAGCAAAAAGAGGAGGATTGGCAACAGATGTTAGCTCAGAGCTAATCTTCCTCATCAAGAAAAAAAAAAGAATGACAAAGGAAAGTATTTCAATAAAGTATCATTTGACAACCAAAAAAAAAAAAATCAGACATGTACATGCACAGAGGAAAGACCATGTATGACACAGCAAGAAGGCAGCCATCTGCAAGATGAGACGAGAGACCTCAGGAGAAACTAAATCTCCTTAATCTTGGACTTCTAGCTCCAGAACTTTGAGAAAATGAATTTCTGTTGTTAAGTCACCCAGTCTGTGGTATTTTGTTATGGCAGCCCTAGCAAACTAATAGACTTGCTATAATGCAGAAGCTCATCTACCTGTCTGCTTTTGAGCCATACATTTAAAATATTTGCAAAAATGTACAACAATGCCACTCTTACTAATTTTTGGGGGGAAAATATAGTTGTTTTTCATAAAATATATTATTTTGTTAATATGTAATGGACTCAGTATTGTTATTTTTTTTCTTTTATTTTGGTGAGGAAGATTGGCCCTGAGCTAACATCTGTGGCAGTCTTCCTCTATTTTGTATGTGGGACACCGCCACAGCATGGCTTGATGGTGGTGTGTAGGTCTGCACCAGTGATCCAAACCTGTGAACCCTGAGCCGCTGAAGCAGAGCATGTGAACCCAACCACTACACCACCAGGCTGGCCCCACAGTATTGTTATTTTTAAGGTAAACATTTTTTTAATTCTTAGGTTTTTTAGGAAGATATTTTTTTAGAGGAGTTTTAGATTCACAGCAAAATTGAGAGGCAGGCTTAGTTCTGTTTTCAAGTACTGTAAATTATATCCATATATCTCTCATAAACAAAGGTTCTTTGGGGTCCTCAATAATTTTTGAGTGTCCAGGACTCCTGAGACCTGAAAGTTTGAGAACTGCTGCACTTCTTCCAAATGAGGTCATATTATACATGATCTTCTATAATGAGCTTTTCTTGCCTAGCAATATGTAGTGGATCACTAGTTGTCAAGATACAGATCATTATTTTTAATGTCTGCACAATAGTCCATTGTGTGTATGATAACTAGTTGGTCCCTGACTAATGGATATTGAGTTGGTGTCCAGGTTTGGCTATTATAAACAATTCTGGATTGTGAATTTGTCTTTTGATGCTTGTGAGTTCATCTAGAAATAAGATTAAATGGTTTTAAAGACGTGATTAAATTTAAGTTTCTTATTTGGAAACTAAGGTTTCTTCCTCCATTTTGTATTGCTAAATATTAAATACAAACAGAAAAACACATAAAACATATGTGCCGTTTTAACAAATACACCCAACGGTTTGGGGGCCCATTGGTTTGAAAAGGCTGACCTGCTAGTCTCTCAAAATTTAAGAAAACCTGTTCTTCTTTGTAAACTATAATTATTGTCCCTTTTCTACAACTCTTATCCCCTCCTCTGGAAATCTGGATTCTCTCTCTAAATGGCTTTACTATTGGCTTCACTAACAGGCCTGGACTGTTGTCGATTTGCTTTCAGCACAGGGCTAATATGGACCCAACTTGAAGGTGCCACAGAAGGCAAGTCCTACTGGGGGAGCTGCCCAGGAGTGTGGGAAACATTTTGACTTTCAAAGGTCTGGAAACAGCTGTTGTTTAATTGATGGGCATCTTGTCAGGGCCTTTCTAAACTCTTTATTGGGCAACTTTAGTAATTCGAGAAGACCAGGGACTTCATAAGAGTACTGGAATTGAAGAGCTATGATATTTAGGATTTACCTCCTCAGTGCCTTGGAGACATGTAATTAGCTATGCTAAAAGACTAGGATTGAGGTGGTGGAATAAGATGGCAAATTTTAGTAGATGGGACTACGGGACTTCATAGCCTTCTCTTCCCAACCTGAGGGAAGAAGAACTAGCTTTTTTTTAAATGCCCACTATGCCCAGGCACTTAGTATGTTATTTTGCATGAATTTCACAGCAATCTTCTGAGATAGGTGGTATTATCATTAATTTATAGATAGAAAATAGATTAGGTAATTTGCCCAAGAACCCAGCTAGTAAGTGGGATTCTACCCCCAGTCCATATGACAACAAACTGTGCTCGTGCACTATACAGTGCTGCTATACAAGCCGGCAAGCATATAAACCCGTGCCTTATTTACTGCAAGACGAAGACATCAATGGCCAGGGCCTAATTACAGCGACACCTCTAAATCCAACTGCAAAGGAAAAAGAAATCACGGAAAGGGCGCTATTGTTTTCTGTGTTCCCAAGGGGACCCCAGCCCAAGCCAGTGAAGCATTCAGAATTCCCAGGCAGGCCAGACTCAGCGTAACTACAAACCTTACAACCTGTGTTTTTTCCTACCGATTAAGATCATGTTTTTCATTGCCTTTGATTTTTTTTTTTTTTTTAAGATCAGAGCAACCAAGTCTTTTTTATAAAAACACAATCTAGGGCTTGGGTCCTAAAAGTTCAGTATGTTTTGTCCTGTCAGATTATCTGTTTCCTCTTCAATTTATTTGTAATGTAAACCTCACCCCATTTCTGCTCTGATCTTGGGACTGTGCCCAGCCTCCAGCCTTCCCAGCTGGTATGTCAACACATTTTTAAAGGCAATGATAAGGGTCATGATTGAACAAAAACTAAACACCTCAAACAAAACCAGCTTCCCGCCCCTCCCCCCCCTTCCCCAGCGACTTATTAAAATCACCTTGAAGTAAAACCATGAGCAAATGTGCCTTTTCCAAATTGGCAGCCTCAAGACAGATGAAATGGTCGGACATTTGCCTTTTAGGGTTGCCCTAGGAGGAGCTAACACAAGGGGTGGCAGCCCTTAAACAGATGCTTGGGGAGGGGGACATCTGCCTCTGTTGCACCAGTCATTCAGTGCTCAGGCCTTGCCTTGAAAAGAGCATGTGGGGCTGGGGAGCAATAGTTCTGAGGCAGGCAGTTGTATGGCTTTTGTCTTAACGAAGCCACCCATCACTGTAGAGCCATAACTCGCAGGAAGCCAGCTGTCAGGGCTGTGGCGCAGGCCCTCTGCGTGGGAGGCAAGGGGAGAGAAACAGTGTCTGTGGCCAAACTCCTTTTGAGACACCTGAGTCTAGTTGGCTTTGTAACCCTAGAGTTTTGTGTCTTCTCCCCACTCCCATCTTCCCTGGGGAGACCCCAGGGCCCTTCTTGCTCTCCACCCTGGGAGAGGCAGCAGGGACATATCAGGATTCGGATTCCATGGTTTGCAACTCCCTGAGGGCTGGGCTGGGCTGGGCTCCACTGCGGCTGGCTGGTGTTTGGCGCTCTGATCTAGCGCTTCCCTTTGAAATCTACCCCCTCCTTTTTTTTTTTTTTTAACCAGGTATGATGATGTCAAACGTGATGCTGATGCTACAGTTACAGACACGGCCCCTGCTGGCGCAGCCTCTCTGATTCTCTCTCCCTTTCCGCGTCCAGCGCTGGGCTTTTTCAGACAAGTGCATCTCCTAACCAGGTCACATTTCAGCCGCGACCCACTATCCGTCTGTCACCGGAGTCAGACCGCAGGAGGAGGGCTGAGGAACACGACGTTTGCTTCGCTAACTGCAGGGTGAGAGGAAGGACATTAAAATACTGCAGAAGTCAAGACCCCCTAGGTCGCACCCAGACCACGATGCGCGCCCCGGGCTGCGGGCGGCTGGCGCTGCCGCTGCTGCTCCTCGCCGCGGCCGCCCTGGCCGAAGGCGACGCCAAAGGGCTCAAGGAGGGCGAGACCCCCGGCAATTTCATGGAGGACGAGCAATGGCTGTCGTCCATCTCGCAGTACAGCGGCAAGATCAAGCACTGGAACCGCTTCCGAGACGTGAGTCTGCAGCGCCGCGAGGGCCGGCGGCGCGGGTTTAGGGAGGGAGCTTGGGGACAGAGTCCCCGGCGCCGGGAGCGGCGGCTGCACGTCGCAGCCACCGGCTCCCGCAGCCCAGCCACCTAATTGCACCGCGAGTAAACAACGCGCATCCACCGGGGTCGTCACAGCCCGGCGCCCCCTCCCCGTGTGCCCCATGGTCCGGGAGCCTGCGGGCTTGGGACCCCCTCAGGCCCACCCCCGCCCCGGGCGAGTCTTGGACGGGGAGTCGCTCCGGGGGCGCGCGCCCGCGACAGGATCTCTCCCGCAAGCCAGGCGTGGAGAGGGGTGCGGGGCGCAGGGGTGGGGGTGCGGGGCGGGAGGGGCGAGGGCCCTGGCTGCGGCTGGGCTGGAGATCTCCCTTTTTGTGGTGAGCCGCCCTCAAGCCTGTCCCCAGCCAAGTGGATGCTGCAGGCTCCACATACCGGGCACTGCAGAAGGGGCAGGTCTGGGTGGGGCTGGCGGGGAAGGGAGCAGCGTCTTGATCGAGTGTCCTCTGCTCCCACCTTGGGTTTTGGGGGAAGCGGGACGGGGCTTTTGGCTGGGGCTTTCAGTTCAGTGTGTGTGTGTGGGGGGGGGGGTCCTAGCAATCCTCATAAGGCGGGACGGTGAAAGGTGTGTCCGTGATGGGGGGGCGGGCGGCGGCGGCGAAAATACCCGAGGCCACCTCCGGGTGGCCCCCAGAGCCAAGTGTGGGGTCCCCATGCAGAGTGGCGCGAGCACGAACGGAGGCTGGTTTTCCAGGACCAACCTTTCATGGAGGCAGCCCAACCCAGCAGGGGGAGAGGCTCCGATCCAGAGAGAAGACTCCGTCGCCCGGTGGGCTTGAAAAGCAGAGGGAAGAGCCCAGAAGCTGGGTCTGGGGGCCCTTGGCGGACGCCCGCCGGAACCCAGGCTTAACCTTGGGCCGAACTTTGCGGGGTGGGGGGGTGGGGAGGCGGCTGCAGAGGAGCCGGCGTCGCTGCCGCACTTTGTTTACCGGCACCTGTAGATCAGAGGGGAAACCGGAGGCGGTGTTCCCAGTGGGTTAAGTGAGAGTGAGGGGGGAGGGCAGAGGGCGTGGTTGGGACCCAGAGAAGGGGGCGGGAGTGTGAAGTGGAGGATGGGCCTGGATGCGGCAGAGGAGACGGACGCTGGTCCCCCGACCTGGTGCTCTCTGACGCCCTGTTCCCGGAAAGTCTCTTCTACGACCCAGTTCTTGCTCCGCATTGCCCAGATTCCCTCATCGGACCCACTTAGTACCACACAGGCCACACTGTGAACTTGCTCATCTGCTCTTCAATTGCGTGCATCCAGAAGTTCCTTAGAAATGTGTTTAAAATACACATGCTTCATAGGATACCCAGCCAAATGATGGGAAGAGGCAGAGATGCGGATTTTAATGTTATTGTGAGACAAGTGACTGTTTCTCTCCAAAGTCAAACTGGTAGGTTGTAATTCATCAGAAGTAATCGATGCTGCCAGGTCCTTAGGCTGAGTGTCCAGGGACCCAGAGTGGGCAGTTTGCCCCACCCACAGCTGGTCCAGCCAGGGGAGCCTGGAGCTCCAGCAAGGCCTTTTCCGCGGCCCCTGCAGGCCCTGCACAGATTAGCTGCAGTCTCCTGCCGCTGCCTGGGAAGCAGCCTGGCCGCAGCAGCGAGGGGGCGTCAGCAGGCTGGCCCATCCGCAGTCCATGTGTCACTGATCCAGGCCTCCCTCTGACTAGCTGGCCCTTTGATATTCCAAATGGGACCGGTGGAGGTCAAGGGGAAAAGAAATGCTTAATCAGAACACTATAGGTTTAAAAATAAAAGATGCTCCCCACCTCCCTTCCTCCACCTGCTTCCAATAGCCAACTCTGTAGGTGAGGATAAATGACTGGCTGCTTGACCCTGTGGCACAGGGCTGCCCACCTGTCTCCCTGTATTGGTGCCAACCACTTCCCCCTTCCTACCATGCTCATCAGAAGGAAGGCACCAGATTTGAAATTCTACAGGACCTACCCCCATGGGATGCATGGAAAGCTTTAGGGCCTGAGTGGCATCGGGGCCTTTTATAGTGCAGGTTTCCTCTAAAACCCCATTTAAGGTCGCCCTGGCTGCAGGAGGACAGGGTCAGGGAGAGAAGGCGGACAAGGAAGGCTGGGCAGGAGGGTCTGGCTCTGGGTATTCGTTGGCAGCTTCTGCAGAAAGGCAGGAGACTGCTAGCTCGGAGCCACTGCATTGCATAACCCTAGGGGTGCCACAGTGTGAATGGCGCCCCCTGGAGTTGTGCAGTGCACAGACGTTACACAGGGGCTCTGCCAGCACTACAGACACTTCTTGTCCCTCCTCTGTTAGTAGAGGCCCCGCTTCCCACGCTAAGGGCTGAAGGTCCTCTAGTTGGGGACAGCAGCATCAGGCTTTATGTGCATTTCATCAGGCTAGCTTTCTTGAAAATAGGCTGCTTGACTCCTCAAAGGAGAGAGAGTTTTTTTGAACCTCTAAGGCATTGCCAGGTTGAGCCAGAACCTTGTTCGTAATCAATCAAAAAATGGTGCAGCGTCCCCAGTTTGCCTCGTAGAAGGAAGGCAAGCAAGACGAGTGGGATAGTCTTGGGGAATAGGATGGAGGAGTTGGCAGTGTGTGTGAGGGACGTGTCTCATCAAATGGTGTTGACTGAACTGAGGGGGAAGATTGAGAGAATCGTGTCGAAGGGGTCAGGAGAACGTAGAAGAGGAGGAAAGCTTGGCCCGTGGCTCCAATGTGGAATTGGACTGAGCTGGTTGGGGGGGAGTTCAGCTTAGCACTCTTTCTCTGAGCTCTAGGATTATAGGGGAGTCAGGATTTACCAGCAGAGTAATCCTCCCCTCCAGCGGGCGCAGGGCTCTTGCATCCTGTGCTTGGGTAGATCTCTTCTAATGCCCGGTGCCCTGCTGCCAGGGAGGAGGGCATTTCATGTCAGAGGAGATGGGGAGGTTGTGATCCAGCTGTGCCCTACCCTGGGTGGGCCTGAGCTTTTCGGAGCCCTGCTCCCCAGTGCTACCATCTCCAGATTCACCCCCTGCAGAACTGGGTGGGATTTTACTGCAGGCTTTAGGAACAAAAGCATCCAGGGCCTCCTAGAAATGGATGGACACTTGAGAGGAGACAGGCCCATTACACAGCATTCTTCCAGGCCAGCTCCAAGAGGCTGGCGAGGCAGCACTGACTGTTCTTTTTCTTCTTGGCTCTTCTCTACTTTGCTCTCTACTTCCATTAAATTTTAATGATATTTCTGAGTGTCTGGCACAGTGCTTGGCACCCAGTTAATTTATGTTGACTCACTGATTGCAGTGAGTGCTTACATCTGCTGGTCCCTGCAGTAAGCATTTGATCTGTATTGTCTCTCGTGCCCCTCAGCAACCTGTGACATAGTTGTCATTACTTTATAGTCTTCCCATTTTATGGTTGAAGAAACGGAGACACAGAGAAGTTAAGTAATTTACCCAGGGGTCAAATAGCTGGTAAGTGGCAGAGCTGGGATTTGAATCCAGGTTGTCTAATTCAACTCTACTGTTGAGGGAACTCTAGGCCTAATCCTTAGTGAAAATGGGAAGGAAGAGTCTACCCTGAAGAATGAAGTCTACCCTGGCTTGTGCCCTGTGAGCCTTAAGGATGCCCTGGGCAGAGCAGCACCTCCTAGGAAGGTGGGCCAAAGCCCTCAATGTCTTTCGCAGCCTACCATAAGCCTGCTCCCCATCCCCTGGCCTAGCGACACTCCAAAGGCAGCTGTCCGCCCAGGAGAGGCAGGAGTGCAGTGTTCTGGGAGAGCTCTGTCCTGGGAGTCGGAAGGCCTGGGTTTGGATTCTGGCTCTGCCACTGGCAGGCCATGTGATGCCAGGTACGTCACATAACCTCTCTGAGCTTCAGTTTCAGGCTAGGAGACTGAAATGAATGCATAAACGTGAAGGCATTTTGTTGGAGGGCTGGAGGGCATCCATTTCAGGCAATGCTCTCCAGCCCCATAGAAAAGCTACAAGATGGATCATCATTTCTGGGGCTAGCCCACACCATGCCTCAGTCCCCATGAGAAAGACGGTGACGTATGTCCGCTAACTTACTATTCACTGCAGGTCTGAGCACCTCCCGTGTGCCAGGGGCTTCACTGTGAGCCTGGGGTCTGGCCCAGGGACACAGTGCCTGCTGCCTACTTATGAGTCTCATGATTGGATAATCACCAAGTAGGCCAGTAGCAAGTTTTAGCCACAAAGGGGCTCCCTTATTATCACCCCTCCCCTCTCCCCACCCCATACACCTAAAGCAATGCACTTGTGGGGATGAGCTGCACAGAGGTTTGTGGATAAGTGTGGGTGTGTGAGAAGAAACCAAAACTGGGTCAGAATGGATTCTACAATTGGGGTTTGGGGATAGGAGGGTGGGTCCTTCCCTCGCCTCCTCCACCCTGGTTTTGAATCCTCTCCCACACTGAAGGGGCTGGCATCTCCCAGAGCGGTGTCAGCATGATGAGGGACTCTTGAACCCCCAGCGGGGCTCAAGGCCTTGGGAGGAGAGGGAGAGAAGAGCACTCTCTGCTGGAGAGGCTGTCATATGCTCCTCTCCTCTGAGGCAGTCTGAAGAGCATGGCAAGCCAACACCATCCCCTCCCAGTCTCAGAAGGTCAGAGGCTGTCAGGAGAAGTGGAAGAGCTCTGGCCTACCTCAGGCCCCAAGGGCTCGGGGAGAGCACTCAGCTGACCTTCCTAGTGAGAGGACAGAACTGGCCATGTGACCTTGCGCAAGCCACTTCACTTCTCTGGCCCTTGATTTTCCCATTGGTTTAATGGGCAGGTTAAACAGAATAATCTACAGAGCACTTAGCATTCTATGACTCCAGGATGATGGCACTGGAGCCTGTCAACAGCCCCTCCACCCACAGACATACCCCACCCTGCCCCACCCAGGGCAGCAAGTCTTTGGATTTGGGGAAAGGATTTTCTTTTGCTTGAGGAAGTACCTTCGAACA